CTTGTCCTGTTAGAGAGCCTTCTGTATCCCACATAACGTGATGACCCGAAATTGCAAACACGCGGACAAGCATTAAAGGCATACTGAAACGGATGCCGGTTCCATGCTAGTTCTAGGGAAGGGAAAACGTGAACCAAAAGAACACTTTAGAATGGAAGTGAAAGCCACGCCCACGAGCCCAGCACCACTGCAGTGGAGAAGCTCGTGCCCCCGCCGTCTCCTTTGGCGGGCTTACGTAGGACGTAGGGCGTGTCGGCACACCACCCACCAAATTTCCAAATTTAGCATGATGACACCCTCATTTTTCCGAAATAATTGCTCGATGACTTAGATCACAACCCTAATTTCCCACAACGAAGCATTTCTGCACTACGTACACATTTGACTACGTACACATAAAAAATCTAGTGTTAAAGCGACGAGAGGGTCCTATCTAGACCACCGTCCCTTTTGAAAAGAGGCTATATGGGTTTCCATGCTAGATTGGGGGAGGGTTGGATTATGTTGAGTTGCTGAAGCCAGGTTAGCTGCCACGGAAGCTTCAGTTGAAGTCCCAGACTTGCTGGGGTGCTCGCTGTTTGTCAAATCCGCTGCGATGTCCAGACTTCCCCAGAAGGATTCTCTCAACGTCACGAGACCCTGTATGGTCCCTAATGTAATCCCCAAAGAATATCCCTAAAGCCTCTAAGCGGCAAAGAAGATGCTAATCTAGAACTTGCATGGCCTGGGTTCAGGGTTCAGGGTTTAGGGCGTCAGCCATCAGTCCTACTGTATACTTGGCAGTGCCTGGAAGAGCAAGGGGGGCCAAGAAATCTCAGCAAGATACAAGCATGTCGCTTTGCCGGTGCTTACTCGCTCTGTCCAAGCCCTGCACCCAAACCATGTGATTATATAGGGGTTCTAGAGGGGTATATAAGGTGTAGGTGAGGGCTACATTGGCACATAGGGGGCTATATAGGGTTGAGGAATATTACCCCAATCATGGAGAAACAGCTGGAAAGTATGCAGAAGATGCAATGGAAAGTGGGATGACATGGGGCCACAGGAGCCCTGTTTTGTACTGTGCTTTCGAAAGCCTTAAGGGCGCTTCTGGGTTCCTATGATGAGCACGATATAGTTCCTAAACCCTAACACACACATATTTATATACATATACATATACGTGCATATATGTGTACATAATTGTACATAAGTATATATATATACATATCTACATTTATCTATTTTCTGACCCGCTAGCTGTGGAAACTCCAACATCTGAGGTTTGAGCTTGAAGTGGCCTTAGGCCTTAGGGTTTTAGGGTTCAAGGTTGTGGGGTTTCAGGGTTTAGGGTCTTGGGGTCTTAGAGTTCAGGTTCTAGGGTTCGGGGTTAAAGTTATTTTAGGGTCTTAGGGTTTAGGGTTTAAAGCAGTTTATGGTCGTAGGGTATATGGTTTTAGGGGTTTTAGCGTCTCGGGCTTAGGGTTGCCCAGAATTTCAACATGCCCTAGGCACTTGCCTGCATAAATGAACAGAACAGGTTATGGGCAGATTTCTGAAAAGTTTGGATTTCTGGCTAGGCCTGGGTAATGTCCTTAAACCCTGAACTATAAGCTCTAGACTATATCAACCCCAACCCAAAATATCCCCAACATACCTCCTACATCACTAAAAACCATCAGAAACATGATGTGAGAATCTGGCCTCGCGCACTGCGCGGGAGCATCTGCTGCAGACGCGCAATGCCCTGCAGCCGCCTCATGCCTGTCAAAGGATTTCTTAGCGTTTGTTGGCTTTGAGGGCTTAGGATGTAGCCCACTTGAAGTGTAGCCTAAGCTCCCTAAAGCAGATTATATAGGGGAATACACACACATATACATCTATATACATATATATATGTATAAGGTTTACGATTTTGGGTTCAATTAGGGTAGGGATTTGGCTGGACTTGTGTTTGCTCAGACTAAAAGCCAAAGCTTGGACCCCTTTGTCGGGGCACTTACGCTGGGTTGCTGTGAAGGAACTTAAGCTAAGTTACCATAACGGCTATCTATAGTACATAATTGGGTTTCCCCAATATAGTAACTTAAAGTAAATGCCTTAACAGCAACCCAGTAAATGATTAGGGCTTACGAGTATTGCGGAGGGTCTCTATGCCCAACCTAGACACTAAAACCTTAAACCGCGTTTCAAAGGGCCGGGCACCAATGATGTCCTCGTAATCCCTGCATGCGCACCTGCCTCATATATCTATATATATATATCCTCAGGACTTCAAGGCAGATTCCTGTCCTACGAACATGCCAGGCCCTACACCCTTAAGAGACGAATACCATGAAACAAAGCCCAAATCCTTGTTCTTTTCGTTGCCTACCTACCCCATCCTGTCTCTCTGTCCTGCCTATTGCATACACCTTTCACACGAATGCGTCGTACACCTATGTCCCACAAAAACCTTCACGGAACCAGGGTTTGAAGCAGGGCGGATCCCTAAACCCCAAAACACTCAACTATTCTCCCGAAAAGGCTGCCCGGGACTGGGCCTTGTTACAGGTAAGAGGCAGCGAATCTTAAAAGATAAATAACATACCTTAGGAGGACCGGCCCCCCGTACCCTGTCATAGTGGTATAAAAGGGTTTAGGGCTTAGGGTGGTATAGTGGGAAAGTAAGAGGTTCCTATAATCGCGGCCTGTTGACCTCCCCCCTAATATTAAATACGGGTTTGCCAAAATTCCAAATCCTGAAATCTGCCCCTCAAAACTATTTTTAAAAGGGCCAAGACTAAAGTTAATGGCTTCTTGGATCCTGTGAATAAAGGGATTTTAAGCACAACTCTTAAGGATTCGGGGTCTCCTTTACTTCCTAGATCTTGATTGTTTTCGAATGGTTTTCAGAAACAAATTCCGAGGCTCTAATTTGGAATAGTCTGTACTACGGCCCTAGTTTGGAATAGTCTCTACTATGCCCCTACTTTGGAATAGTCCCTATTCAGGCCCTAATTCGGAATAGTCTTTAGTCCTCTTTAAGGCCCTAATTTGAAATAATCCCGAATGAAGCCTTATTGAAATAGTCCCTAATAAGGTCCTACTTTGGGATAGTCCCAATAAAGCCCTAATTTAAAGCAGTCCCTAATAAGGTCCTACTTTGAAACAGTCCCTAATAAAGCCCTAATTTGAAATAGTCCCTTATAAGCACCTAATTTGAAATAGTGCCTAATACGGCCCGAATTTGAAATAGTCCCTAATGAGGCCCAAATTTGAAACAACGCCTAATAAGGCCCTGTTTTGAAATAGTCCCTTACAAGCCCCTAGTTTGAGATAGTCCCTAGAAAGGATCTAATTTGAAATAATCCCTACTAAGGCCCTAAATTGAAATAGGCTTCTCTTAATTAAATTTTACTGAATTGATAAGATATCCACTTATCATATACTCAACCCCAACACTAAGCCACTTTGTCCGTGCGACTGCAAGCTATTCAGCCCAAGGTCTGGCTATTGGATGGCGCACGGTTGGCTCCACCCCAAAACTGGTAGCTGTCGAAAAGTGCAAGGCACCTAACTCAACCCTAAACCCTAAACATGTAATAGTTTCTCGATATAGGCCCCCAAAATACTAATCAAATTATGGGTACCACCCTGACAAGTACCCCTAATTTTGGAAACCCTAAATAACCCTGTATAACCACCCCTCATTTTGGGAATGTCCTATGTAGGAAGCCATGGTGCGCAAAGACTTTTGAAGAGGCCTAGCTTTTAGCACCTACTATCCAGGCCCGCACCCTAGGGATTCAAAGGTGATATAGGGACTAAAGTATAGGTTGGGGATTTAGGGTATATGATTTAGGGCTCCAAACAGCCCAATGTAGGTAATATCTATAAATTTGGATCCCCAGGGGAGCTTGGGCCACTTTAGTCAGAATTTTTGCCCGGCATTGCGGCTTCAGCTGACACCTTGTTTGCCTTCCCCAAAGGGTCCATCAAGGAGTTGGGTCCCTTGTACTATGGAACGGTTTTGAGGTCTCTGGGAGTATATAATTGCTGTATACTTTGGACCCTCTGGTTCTTTCATAGGGAAGGAAATGCCTGGAGTGGTTTATTTAAGGCTGCCACAGGGATGACTTCTGGCAGGGCATCGTAGAAATCGAGTAGGGATCTTTGTTCGCAGCATCCGTTCCTTCTTTGCATATATTAACAACTTCAAACTTTCTTACACAGCTAGCGGCCGTCAACCATCCGCTTATGGGACGGGTGCGCAATGGCATATGGGCTGGTGGCTGAAGGCTGCTTTGGCAGAACAGTCTGCAGCTCCGATTAGGTAGAAGCACCTTGCAATTCTGCTTCCGGGCTAGTACAACCCACAAAACCTGAGCCCGAACACCTGTGGCTTATGAACAGCGTTTCAGGAACTCATGCGGGCAGTGCTTACATGTTAGGAGCCTTTTCTATGTCTTGCCAAGAGACGCCCGTAGAAGGAAATCATGTCAAATGTGATCGTGGCTTTTAAATCTTCAGATATTGTATGCAAAACCTCACATCTTATGGACACCAGTCCAAGGCTTCGGTCTACCACCTCCCAAACAAACAACAGCAATGGAGGTCTGGCTTGGATTCTGCAGGGCTGCATGCGGCCATTCTTGCACGCTTTATGTGGGGGTTTCCCAAAATTGAAGGTACCCTATTGGGGGTCCCCATAATAAGGATTATAGTATATTGGGGTCTATATTGGGGTCCCCTTATTTTGCGAAACTACCATGTAGGGCATCCAATGTGTTCTGAGGCGCTTGTTGTCACCAGGCCTGAAAGTTGGCGCGCTGCTTCTTGAAGCAATGGAGCTGCAGGTCTGGCCCAAGGCCTGTCTAAGGTTCTTTTAGGTGTTAATATTATTAGTATCATTACTACTACTATCATCAAAATTGCCATTGTCACTAATATGACTATTACATTACTGGACACATGACTTTTTTTCTGGAAATCTCCCCTATGCCCTATGTCCTTACAGCAAGTCCTTCGAACCGTAAACCCTACTTTGAAGGGACCGCGGTGAGGTAACGAAGCAGCTTCCTGGACTCTGGCTTCAGTTCACTATTCCTATATAATCCCAATATAGCCCAAATATAGCCATATAACCCCAATATCCTCGACCCGATATAACCCCAATATACTCTGGTAGTTTCCATTTTCTGTTCCATTATTCCTATAGATCCCCAATATAACCCAAATATAACCCCTTTAAGGTCTACATTAAACCCCCCAACTCCACAAGACCAGGCCTCCAACAATCGCGAGACCCGGGGCTTCCTGTTGAGCTCTTCAATCTTCGTGGCATCACATGCAAGGTCAGCACGCTTGCAAGTGTTGTCGCAGTTGTCCCCAGTGATACCCAACACCCATCCATCAGCCTGAAGCGGCGAAGAAGAACTGAAACAGCTGCATGAGTGTTCTATTCAGCCCAGAATACTGAAGGACAGCAAAAGTATGATGTAATGAAGGACTATACATGTCCTACCATGCTTGTGAAGCACAATCATGCAAATAAGCTGCAAGGGAAATCGGCTGGACGGTGCTTGTGCTGCAGAAGCAGAGGGGACGATCCGAGGGACTGTCAGTACGATCGCAGTCCACACCAGTTCCATAGAAGCACTTTTGATCGGCCGGTTGGTAGGTAGGCCCGTAAGCTCGTGAAGAACTTGTCGTGTCACTCTCGGAATTCTGTTGATCTGTGCGATCTTACCTGCATCACAACCGTCAAAGCCACGAAAATGGCAGAGGTCGTTGCACGTGTCATGCAGGTCGCCCACAATCCAACCGTCCTGGACAGCAAAAACTCTGCAGCTGATGCAATGCCAAAGGTATTTTCAAACGGTAGGTTGAATTGAATATGCTGGGGCGGCTTCAGCACTGAATCCTCAACTCCACATGATCCCTGCTTTTTCTTCGTTGCACTTCTGCGCTCTCAAAGCTACACTGCTACACCTCGTGATCCCTGCCCAAACATCTGCTTGCACTTGTAACCCTCCCCCTCACAGAGAACTCCCTTGAGAGAGAAAGCAAGCCCCCCCAAGTACCCCATTCTAGAAACGTCACGATTGGGAGGGTTACGGAGGGCTCGAACTAATTCTGCATGTTAGTGTTACATGTCACGGTGAGTCGGGACTCCAGCAACATACCAAAGATCTAAAGACTAATCTTAGCCTACTGTTACTTGGCCATTGGAAAAACCCCAGGCGCTCTGCCACCAAAATCACGTAGCTTGCTCCTAGCATATTCGCACCCCTGGCGGCTAACACAGTGCGGCAGAGCACAACGCAAGGTGGATGCCGACAAGCTTCTACTGAAGTGGTCGTCGCAGTAGTGGTGCTGCAAAAGCAAAGGGGACGATCCGAGGGACTGTCATTGTGATCGCAGTCCACACCAGTTCCATAGAAGCACTTTTGATCGGTCGGCTGGTAGGTAGGCCCGTAAGCTCGTGAAGAACTTGTCGTGTTACTCTCGGAATTCTGTTGATCTGTGCGATCTTACCTGCATCACAACCGTCAAAGCCACGAAAATGGCAGAGGTCGTTGCACGTGTCATGCAGGTCGCCCACAATCCAACCGTCCTCGGCAAACATTGCGAACTTGTGCCACAAACTTGAAAGTTGATTGCGCAAGAAGTTGAAGGTATCTTCAGGCTCCCCGTGGATATGACTGTTGAATCCGAAAGTCATTCATGTGCTACCTGGCCCTTGTGAATTTTGGGCATAGGAAATGAGCTCTGACGAACTGGATCAACGTGGTAACCCAGAAGAAGGCCTGGCATCAAGGTTGGTCATTGCTATCAGTCACCACGTGGTTGCGAGACAACCGACAGCTCTACTTCTCAAGTAGGATAGGCACTGTAGGAGACTACATGATTACAAATCTCATGTGGTCCATTTGAGATAGCTTGTTCCAGAATCATACAAGGAATCTAGGACCATAGTAACAGGATTCTCTCACACGAAGACCTCGTAGCATCTTGACCTCTTTCAAGGTACCCTGCGAAAAACACGGCGGAAAATATGGTGATTTTGATTTTCTTTTCCATTATACCTATATAATTCCAATATAACCCTCATATTACCTCCATATAACCACAGCTACCAGCCTGAGATCTCAACTACAGCGCCAGAACTTTATATTAGGGTTATATTGGGATAATGGAAAAGAAAATGGAAACTACTACAATGGGTTATATAGGGTACATATTGGGGTTATATTAGGGTTATATTGGGGTCATATTGGGGATCTATAGGAATAATGGAAAAGAAAATGGAAACTACTAGAGTATATTGGGGTTATATAGGGTTCAGGATATTGGGGTTATATTGGGGTACTATTAGGGTTATATTGGGATTTTATAGGGATAATGAAAAAGAAAATGGAAACTACTATAGGATTATAGTCCCCCTTAATTAGATAGAATACTGTTTCGGGTACATGGTAGTAAGGTCCCCATATACCCCATATTCTATCTACTTAAGGGGGACTATATATTTGCTTCAGAAAGCGCTGATCAAGAAATTGAGAGCTCTGGAGTTGGCAGATATGTGTTTCGGGTTGAAGGGTTTGGGGTTTAGGGTATTAAGGCTTAGGGTTTTAGGGTTTAGGGTTTTAGGGTTTAGGCTTTGTAGCTAGCAAATTGGAAGGTCTCTGTTGTCCAGGCTCCCTTTCTCCATTCGGCTGTTCCTGCGGGACTCCAATTTCTCAATGCGGGGCCTGGGGCTCTCAAGGGGCGAACTGAGAAATTGCGAGCCCCAGACCCTGAATCAAGAAATGCAGGGCCTTAGGGCTGAGAGCCCACATGCAAATAGTTGCAAGAGAGAATCCTCTGCAGGGGGTCATAGGGATATAAGGTCCCTTCAAGACGGTTGTAGGGACATTAGATCCCTTTAAGGAGGTTACCAGCCTTCTACCAGGTTTGAACACACCTCAGCTGTGTGCGAACGAGCAGCCAGGGAAGTTGTTGTTGCTGTGGTGCCCTTGCAATAGCACAACGGCTGATCTGCAGGGCTGTCGTTGCGGTCGCAATCCACACCAGCGGCGTGAAAGCACTTGTTGTTAGAGCTTTGGTAGAATGCCCCATAGGCTCGTGCAGAAGTCGAATCACATGTTGCGCTGGGCTCCAACAATTGTAGCTCTGCCTCAACCTCTTCCAATGCGTCAAGATTCTTGATTTCATCTGCACCACATCCTTCGTATCCCTTGAAGGCGCACAAATCGTTGCAGGTGTCATGGCGGTCGCCAAGAAACCACATCGGCTGAGCCTGGGCTTCAAGAGTCTGGCAGCTCAGGCAGCTCTGCTAGTATCATTGTTAAAGCTACTATCACTTTCAGTAGTACCATTACTAGGGTTCACCCACAGCTTTGGCTTGCGCGAGTTGTTAGGTTGGGCCCCCAGCATAGTGATCAAAGGAGATCATGGCAATTATATGAGGGCCTCTATATTCCTAATGTACCACTATGAGTGGGTGGGGGCCTAACGCAAGCGATTTGCATGTTTAGGGGGCAGGTGTACGAGGTCTGAGTATAATATGCTCTGCACTGTAGCTGGGAGTGAGTATGATCTACTGTATGGGCCTAAATCATTCTCAATATCATACTTCTAAGGTGCTTGCATAATTAGGTACGTGGTACGGTAAACAGACCCAAATTGACACTGGTGCTTGTTCAGGGGGTTCGGCCAGTTCAAATGTCTAACGAGACCTTGGGCACAGTTCCTAAACACTAAACTGCTGCCATCACCCCCTGGAGTTAGGACGGAATAGGGGAATGTGTTTTAGAGGGATTACGTAAATTCCCTTACTCCCTACAATCGAGCAGTAAGAAATCACCGCATTTTGTTTTGCAACAGGCTTTCTGAGCCCGTCCGGTAGAAGCGGCACTGAACACCACAGCCCACCGAAGTTGCTTCTGACTCCGTAAACCGTAAACCCTAAGCCCTGAACCCTAAGTCCCAACTCCTAAGCCCTAAGCCTTATAAATCCTAAGCCCCGAATCCTTGTCACAAACAACAGCATCCCCAGGAATGAAACGGATTGCACACAGTGTAAGGTTTAGGGAGTTTAGAGAGTTTAGGGTTTAGGGAGTTTAGGCGCTTGCGGGTTTCGGGGCTTTAAGGTTTAGGGGCTATAGGGTTTATGGAGTTTAGGGTTTAGAGGCCTTAAGGTTTAGGGACTAAGGAGTTCATGGGCTTAAGGGTTGAGGGGCTTTGGGGTTTAGGGGTTTAGGAGGATTAGGGTTCAGGGGGTTCAAGGGTTCAGGCGGTTTAGGGTTCAGGTACGGAAGTCAGCAAGGAGTGGATTGGGAGCCACCAAAGACAGCAAGTCCTGGAGCTATGACCACTCCTCTTTATCTAGGTTCCCCGACATGAGAAGGGCACCAATTTCCCAAATATTCAGCTTTAACAAGGAGTCCCAAAGTAAAAAGAGGAAAAGGGTACTACTGCAGTACCAAACCCGTAAGAGGAACTGTTACCACAGTGGGCGATGGAAGTTGTGATGTCCTCCTCATAAGGCCCCTTTGAAGACAGTCAGTGTCAGGGTGAATGATCCAAGGCTTCCCCAGAATAACAACCGCCCAGGCGGCGTCATTTTTGGCATGGAGGCTTTTCAAAAAAAATCTGCAGCCCACTGTAACCTCTGAAATCAATCTTTCAAATTGAGCCTTCACGTTTACAAACCAAACTCGCACATTCTTGGGTCTCGACCCCCCTTCATTCACTATGGGGTTGCCCCGACTGAGCCCCTGTCAAGGCTTGCTTTAGCCTTGAGGTCACGGGACTCTCTCTGTGTAAAGCTGTTCTATCATTGGTGGGGCTGTTACTTAATGGGGATAAGTGTTCAATCCGATTACGAATGGCATGGGGCCACTACAGGTGAGCGCCCGGAAGTGGCCCAAAAACAAGCCTGCCGAATCCCCGATTTTCGTGATTCCACTGAAGCTTGGCACCGGTTGCTTCTAGGTTCTAACCCTACATATAACATTGATTCCACCAAAGCTAGGGGGCTTACTATAGGGGCCTAAATAATTACTAATATCATGTTGAGGTCCATTTGAGGTACGATAATGAGACAAGGAATATTGAACCATAATATTGGTAATCATCCCTATAAATCCCTATATAAACTCAGTTTCCATTTCATTTTCCATTTTCTTTTCCATTTGATTCTCCATTATTGGGGATAATACTGGTAATTATTAAGGCCCCCCTATGTTAGCTTGTTTCGTTGTTTGTTTCTAAGCCCTTGCAGGTGGGTACGTGATCAAAGAAGCAGGTACCCAAAGGCATTGGCGAACGCAGTTTAGGGTATGGGGGTTTAGGGTTTAGGCGCCAAACCATCTATCCAGAAAAGGATTCTCTGACTTGAGCCGTTGCTCCACTGATGGGATCGTCTCAGATGAGGGTCCGCAGAAGAACCGTCTCGTCTCTACATTCCAGGAATCTGAACAAGACCTCAACTTATTCAGAAATGGCAGGCAGCCGGGGGAACCCAAGATAGACAACCAAATACTATAGCCTTGATTTTCTTGGAGCCCTCCAAAACTGGACCCCCTGATTTATGGAAACCCCCGATGCTATGCGGACCATGAGGCATTCTGGCGGCGCTCTCTTCGGCGAACTCGCTTGCCACGTGCCTGGTAGGAGTTGGGCATCTGTCAAACTTTGGGCATCCACAGGAAATCCAACACGTCATAGCTGATACCATCTTATGTGAACTGAATTTGCAAATGCCTGCCATGCATCGCTTGCCATTTTCGACTGCAAGAGGCCAGTCTCATCGTCGCAGCTGGCCGAAAGCCTTAGATGCGGTTTAGGGTTTAGGGTTTAGGAGATCTTGCGCTCCAACTTGACAAGATTGCGCGCTGCATCAATTCCTGAACTGACGCGGAAATCCACGGGCTGTAGATTGGAAGTCAAGAACACTCAAGCGAATGAGATGATGATATTCCCAGTATACATACGATTCATATGATGCTAGTATGTGATAGCGGACCTGTTTTTGATTTTGGGGTGGGGAGGGTACTTAGATGTCAATAAGGTATCGACTTAAAGCCCTTCACCAACATAAATCATCATGGGTCGCCTACTACCGCCAGTAGGTTCCCCTTAGTCAAAATTCCTTCAACATAACCAGGCCGAAGTAATGTGAATTAATAGAGGGCGGGAGTATAGAGGGGTAGTAGGGGAACCAATGAACCCTCAACCTAGACCCTAAACCCTAAAACCCTAAAACCCTAAACCTTAAAACCCTCAACCGTTTAGGGTTTACGGTTTAGGGCTCGCTCTGCCAAGAAACTTATATTCCTCTCGTGCTCGTCTCAGCATTTCTGTTGGAGAAGCTCTTGCTGCCACCTCTTGTTGGTTTAGGGTTTAAAGGTTTCCACAATCAAAACTAACTTGATGGTCCATATAACATATAATGCAGATTAGGGTGTAGGGTTGAGGGTTAAGGGTTAAGGGTTGAGGGTTTAGGGGTTGTCGAGAGTCTAGCGCATGCGCACGATTTTCTATAGTCATCGACCAGGGTCACACCCGGGGGAACCGTCTACGGATCTTAAGAAAGCTTTGCGAGGGATACTGTAATGTGCGCTACTAACAGTTCTAATCGAAGCTATTAGAGCCTATCAGCCCTCACTTACAGTCATTCACGTCTGCACTCTTCCGCACTAATAGTCCCTAGTAGCGGCTGCAGATGTTCGTGCTCCTGATTTCCCTCTGAAAATCTGGAAATTCTGGCAGGTCATTTCGCTAATGGCGCCCATTCGCTGCTTCATGTTCCGACCTAGTCTGGCTACTAGCTTCTACTATCGCTTATCCATACTGGGTGGGCTCTAAACCCTAACTTTAAATCTTCAACCCCTAAACCCGAAACCCTAAGCCCTGTGACTCCAGGGGCTTTGCTCTTCAAACTCTTTGCACAAACTTCGGCGCCCTGAAAAAACAAAGCCACCTGTGTCCCTTTTCCCAGATCCTCGTAGGTTTTTGGGTTTAGGGTTCAGGGTTTAGGGTTTAGGGACCCTAAACCCTAAACCGCGAATCGTGGAAGCACATGCTTGCTGGAGAGATGGCTGTTGGGGGCCCATGACATTCTAGGAAACATCAAAAAGTGAGGATTTCGAATGATCAAACTCAGGCCAAGAGCACAACAGTAGTCACTGCCCTTATACTTCCCATTAAGTAGATGAAAAATGGAATTGGCCAATATACTAATAAGATCCCCACATACCTCATATTCCATCTGCTTAAGGGGGGCTATAACCCTAAACCCTGAACCCTTTAAACCCTAAACCCTTTAAACCCTAAACCCTGAACCCTTTAAACCCTAAACCGTAGTCACATGCACTTCAAGAACACCAAGGAACACTTGTAGCACTCCTCAGCCCCAGGCCCCTGTAAGAGCAGGTTAAGAGCACTCCATAACGATTAAGGGAAGGTTGGGATCATCTAGGGGTTAGGTTTAAGAGGTTTAGGGTTTCGGACCCCTAAGGTCGTAGCCCTAAATGGTTTTCCCAATATACCATTAATATGGCTCCCATATACCTAATGGGCTTCCTAAAATGGTCTAAAGGGTCCCCAAACCCAGGGGTACAACCTTAGGGGTCCAAGGTAGAACCCCTTGATATATAAGGATGATATAGGGGTTATGTTTAAGACTGAGGGATAATGGAAAAGAAAATGGAACCTACTCTTTAGGGTTTAGGGTTTTCAGGGCCTAGGGAGGGCCCTCAACAAGCTTTCCAACAAAAACAGAGCATTCGAACAAAACAAAAAATGTCAAACCCTAAACCCTAAGCCCAACACTCCAAGAGCGCTGCCTAAGCTCCAAGGACCCTAAACCCTAAACCCTAAGCCCTAGACCCTAATCCCTGAACCCTAAACCCTAGGCAGTTGTTGCGAAAAACGTGGTTTCTGGAATCAAGGCCAGGTTTCCAAGTCAAAGCCCCGTCCAAAACCCATGAGAAACCAGGCAACAACTCATAGGAAACCTGTAAGGACCTCCTTCCCCTAACCGGGGTTTAGGGTTTAAAGGGTTTAGGGTTTAGGGTTTAACGGTTTAGGGTTCTCAAACCCTTAACACTTGACCAAGCAGCACCTGCCTGAAAGCAGCTTCTGCTTGCTGCAAGTAGATACTGCAGAACTTCTGCCCTCGCCCTGACTTTAACTCGCCCCTACAATTAGATACTAGAATGTAATTGGTTAATATTAGGGGATTTCCCGTGGGATTTCCTAGGACACCCCTACTTTCATTTTGCAGTTTCTGTTCCGTCTGATTCTCCATCAGTTAACCCAAAAGCGCTATCTATCCCTGTAGAACCCCTAGTCCCTAATGCCTGTAACTTCTATACAGCCTTTATGTGAGCTAAAGTCTAAACTCCTAGTATCCCCCTCACTGACCTCTATAATGCTCCTGCCAGAACTATATAACGCCCGTTTAATATAGCTCACATAGCCCTACATGGCGCCTAAACCCTAGACACTAAACCTTAAACCCTAAACATGAAATCCGAAACCCTAAACCCAAAATCCTAAACCCTAATGTAGGCATATCATTAATCAAGGGGGTGACAATAGCGTTTTTCGGCTGGGCTGGAAAATCCCGGTCAATCAAATTTGCTTTCTAACAAGTTTGGAGCCCGACAAGGTCTACTTAAGGTCCATCGGCAATAATAAAGGGGTGGCAATAACATATTTGTCCTTCCCGATTTTATTAGATTTCCTTTTACTTGTACTACGGGTACTACGGGCTGCACTACCTAGCCCTACCGCCACCCCCGTCATTTATTATTGCGACCCCCCCCTTCCATAAGCCCGGATGGCAAAACAAGTTCTGGGGGGGGATTATTATTGTCATGCTTACATTAAAGCCTAGACCCTAAACCTTAAACCCGAAACCCTACACCCGAAGTCCCAAACCCTAAAGCCTAGACCCTAATCCCTTCACCAGGGCAACCGCCATTCCAAGCACCAGAAAGACGGGAACCATGACTGTCCTGAGCTCCGAAGCTTCTCTTTAGGGTGTATGGTTTAGGGTATGTGAGCTATAGTGTAAAGGTTTAGGGTTGAAGGTCTAGGGTTTAGGATGGCTGAGGGTAAACTCCTTTTAGGGGTTATTATATAGGAGATTATATAAGGTTTGGGATTTAGGATTTAAGTTTTAGAGTCTAAATTCTAAAAAAAGGAGATGGACAGGGGATTAGAAAGGGCCTGGGTATCTGGAGTTTCTCAAAATTAGGGTACCCCTTTGGGGTCCCTATAATAAGGGTTCTAGTACTTTGGCGTCTATGTTCCCCTATATGCAGATCTAGGTATGTATACGGATACAGGGTGGTATAGGGATATAAGCCATGGTCTAAACTCCTTAAAGGGGGCTATATAGGAGATGACATAGGGGACTATTATAGGGATTAAGGGGGATACCAGGAGCTTAGACTATGACCATGGCGCATATAAGGAGGGTCAATAGGGCCACTGCTGTGGAGAGTGCCATCAACATAAGAATGTCACTTCTTCTTCCGGGCAGGGGAATGTGCATTTAGAGGTGGGACCTTGCCTCATTCTTGCCCTAATCTTTAAGCCATAATTTCTTTACACAAATTTTCCTTCTATGCGCAAATGTTACTGTAGTGCTTCTGGTCTCAAGCCTGTACCCTAGTAGCTCGGTTGGAACGTCCAAGCATCAAGCTCGAAAAGCTGACTACACTCCAAAAATCCTAGCATTGAAAGCAAGACTCCGAGCCATGGCGAAGGCGCAGGGTCCAGCCCTTTTCGGGCCGTGAACTTCGGGCACCCCAAAGAAAGATCCCCTCAGCTACATACTTAGATATGTGTATGCATATACACACATTTAGTCCTGTAGGTAAACATATACTCAGCCAAAAGGAGTTGGCCTAGGTAGAAGTATTTCAGCATGAATGGATGCATGTGTATACGCATATACAAGTATTCCGAAACAATTGGGGAGTAGACATGCGAGAGCAGATGTCCGTGCTAATACATAAACCAATTCACACTCAAGCGTCTGATAGCAAGAAGACCTTGGCATAAGAGTAAGGGTACGTCATGCTCACATCTGCCAAGAATGATGGTAATGTCTCTCTTCCCAGAAGTCCATCAACAGGGTCAGTGTCTACACTTCCAGGCTTCCAGGGTCCGAACGCTCAAGCCGAAAGCTGCAAACAGCGCGCAGCTTTACCACATGGAGCCTCTTTCTTCACCTTTTGCCGGTTGCTGAGTTCCCTGCGCCTCCACTGTATCCTTATGTACAATTCCAGGTTTCATCTCTGCATGGTACTTATTCCGCATGTGCTCTCAAGTTGCCAGTCCCCACTCCTCTCATGCACGCCCTGGAAGATGTGGTACTTGTTGGACCCCACTTGGAACTACTTCCCCACACAGCAAAATCTCCCCACAACGTCTGCAGTAATCTCCGTGCTATCCTCGTAGACCCAGCGTGGGAGTTTGCTTAAATATTGTTGCCAGAGGAACCCCGATATGGAGATCCGCATTGCTGCTAGCTGCAGCAATTGGAATACAGTCTAGAGACTCTTGGAGGCATACAAGGAATTTAGACCCTAAACATCCCTAAACCCAAAACCCTACCTAGCTCTGTTTAAGAAGCTTAGACTAGAGATCACATCTTATACCCAGCCACAAAGATTTCCGAGCGGTAGCAGCTAACGGGCCAACCCCGGATCTGACTGGTCAATGGAGCAACTGTTGGCTCCAGCAAGCCAAAACTGGTAGTTCCCGAAACTGCGGGGCATCCAACACGGTACAAAACATAAGTGGTTTAGATTGTTAAGGGTTAAGGCTTTACAAAACTATGCAGGAAGTCTTAGGGGCCCCTTTGTTCTTGAAGCTACCATCCAGGCACGTCGCTTGTGCCAGTTGTCAGAACTCTTGTCCGGCATTGCGGCTCTCGCTGACATCAGGTTTGCCCTTCTTTTACATGGCAATTTCCCTAAATAAGGGGATCCCAATATAGAACCCCCCAAAATATACTCTTTATTATAGGGACACCCAAAAGGGTACCCCTAATTTTGGGAAACCCCTTAAACCACATAATCCCCCATAAAATCCCAGTTTCCATTTCATTTTCCATTTGATTCTTCATGGTTGGGGTACCCCTAATTTCGGGAAACCCTTACATTTGAAGGAACGGGCAGGAGGGGGCCACCTCAGGTTCCCATTGAAATGACACATGGGATGACATCATACAAATCCAGTAGGAGTTATTGTTTGCGAGCCCCGTTCCTTCATCTCCTACTATGGTAAGCAACTTCAAGTATTCCACACATGTTGCCTAGTAGCTGTCAACCGTCCACTTATGGGGCGGCGGGCACACAATGGCACATGGGCCGCTCTGTGGGAGCTACAGTAGCAGCGCAGTCTGCAGATCCAGTCAAGTAGACGCACCTTGAGAAATTGTGCTACCAAACGCTGAGTGCGTGATTCAAGACAAGTCCTACACCCTGAACCCTAGACAGCGCGGCCACAAGCAGTGTTTGTGCAGCGCACCAGGGCAATGCTTAGAAACTTAAAGATTTTGTCTGTCCTGCTGTAATTTTATACCTCCATATCCACTTTGCCTTTCCATAACATAACAGTAGCAACCTGATCACAACATCTGCCCATACTAAGGCATGGAATGTTTGAAGGCGCCTGCCATCGTCCCTGATCGTTGGCACACCGCTGCTTCTCGAAGCAATGGAGGTGCAAGTCTGGCCCAAGGCCTGTCTCAGGTATTTAAAGGTATTGCTATTATTATTGCTATTTCTATTATTATTGATCCAAAGGCGTCATCCAATCAGTTGGTTGAATGGTAGGCCCGGCAGAACTTAAACCCTAAGCCCTAATTACTTCAAGCTCTTCAAGCAGTAGGCCGACTTTGACAGGCTGACCCCAGGTCCCCTGAAGCAGACTAGGCCGGTCCTCAAGTATATGGGGGTTTCCCAAAATTAGGGGTACCTTTTTGGGGGTTCATATAGTATATTGGGGTCTATATTGGGGTCCCCCTAATTTTGGGAAACTACCATATTAACTTTGGGGTTATAATGTATGTATGCAAGGGTTTATTTAAGGATCAGAGGTTTAGGGTTTTTAAGGTGTAGGGTAGAAGTGAATATGTTAAGGTAATGGAAAAGAAAATGGAAGCTACGATTTAGGTTTAGATATCCCTATATCACCCCTATGTAACGCATATATATATATATACATATATATATATTTACCCTATTATATTATAATAGTTTCCATTGTCTTTCCATTATTCCTTTATAACCCCAATATAACCCCTATAAGGTCTACATTAAACCCCCAAACTCCAGGGCACCAGGCCTCCGCCAATCGCGAAACTCTGGGCCTCCTGTTGATCTCTTGCGCATTCCTGAAATCACACTCAAAGGTGGCATCGGCATCGGTGCAGGTGGTGGCGCAATCGTCCCCGGCGGTACCCAACACCCAACCATCGTCCTGAAGCAGTGAAGGGGAAACTGCTGCATGGGTGTGTCACTGTCTTCCTAAACTGTTAAGTCAACAGTGCAGCGAAATATGATGGAAGGAAGTGCTGCTTATGTCATAACCATGCCCGGGAGGCATGATGTTGCCAACAAGCTGCTTCAACTGAATCATAAGTCGGCGTGATGGCGTCGGTGCTGCAGAAGCATAGGGGCCGATCGGATGTAAAGCCATTCTCATCGCACTTGGCGACTGCTTCACTTCCATAACGGCAGGTTGTGGCTCCTGTCCCGGCGTTGATCTGGTAGCTGGGCCCAAAATCTCGTGCACCAGTTGCGTCGCAGTTGATTTCCAAGTCCGGTGACTGGCCCAGTGCCTCAAGCAATCGAGTGGCTCTCGGTATCCTGTTGATCTCTCCGATCTTCTCTGCATTACAGCCGTCCAAACCACGGGAGCGGCACAAGTCGTTGCAGGTGTCGTGAAGGTCGCCCAGGATCCAGCCGTTCAGGAAATCCTGGACAGCTCAAGCTCTGCAGCTAGATCTACTTGTCAGGTAGGTTGCGGCCCTAAATCCTGATTCGCACAACCTCTCTGCTGTTGCTTTCTAAGCTGAAGTTTTTGACCAGATTTGCAAATTGTCGGGGCGTGGTTCAAGCTAAGTTGCCAAGGAAGCACAGGCTATAGAATTATCGTCGCTGAGCTTGTGCTCTGGAACCTGCACGCACGTTCTTCTGGGGGTAGCCGGAAGGAAGCTTACACAGCCAATGCGCTAAAATCTCCATCGGATGCACGAGGCCCACGGTCGCTCAGAAGTGATGCTTCCCAACCCCCCGATGAACGCGGACCGAGAATCTGCCTCTATATGAAACATATCGGAAACTTCAAGCATCCTCAAGCTGTATGAGCGATCATGAGTGCGCAGGGGAGGCAAAAGAGGAAGCTATCACAAAAGACAAGAGCACTTGGCATCTACAAGGATTTTTCTCCTCTGGCCACCAGATTTACTACTGGGATCGTTGGGTAGATCGGGTTCGTCTAATCTCAGGGGTCTTGGAGCACCTGCGGAAAGATGGGTGCGGCTTCTTGCTGGCAGGTTCGAACCTGGCATCCCATGACGTGGCGTAGCCTGGCACGACACAAAGCATATGCAAACAAGCTTCAGAATTTTGATAAGTCGGCGTGATGGCGTCGGTGCTGCAAAAACACAGAGGCCGCTGGGATGTACTGGGGTTCTCATTGCAGTTGACCTCACCAGTTCCATAACGGCAGATTCCGCCTCGTGTCTGGGTAGGGGGCAGATAAGTGGGCCCGAGGTCACGGCTTGCACCAGTTGAGCTGCAACTGATTTCCGAGTCCAGTGCCTCCAGCAATCGAGTGGCTCTCGGTATCCTGTTGATCTCTCCGATCTTCTCTGCATTACAGCCGTCCAAACCACGGGAGCGGCACAAGTCGTTGCAGGTGTCGTGCGGGTCGCCCAGGATCCAGCCGTTCAGGAAATCCTGGACAGCTCAAGCTCTGCAGCTAGATCTACTTGTCAGGTAGGTTGCGGCCCTAAATCCTGATTCGCACCACCTCCCCGCTGTTGCTTTCCAAGCTGAAGTTTCTTTACTGATCAGACTGCAAATTGCTGGGGCGTGGGGTTCAAGCTACGTTGCCGCGGAAGCACAGGCTACAGAATTATCTTCTCTGAGCTTGTGCTCTGGAACCTACACGCATGTTCTTGTGGGGGTAGCCGGAGGAAGCTTTCACAGCCAATGCGTCTAAAATCTCCATCGGATGCACTTCGAAGTGATGCTTCCCAA